ATATATATGTGTGTTTTTATTTTATAGGTTCCTTATGTTGTGGAGAAACCATATCCTGTTTATGTGGAGAAAAAATTTCCCGTGCCAGTGGCGAAACCATATCCCGTTCATGTTCCAATTTACAAACACGTGTTCCATTATACATCCAAGGGTAAAGGATGGCATTAGATTTTATGGATATTAAATATTAACTTTAAATCGTCTTTCTGTCCCATTATGGAGCGCAAATGCTTCTTAATTTCAGCAGAGACAGTCATTTATTAAAAGATTTTTTTATCGTATTACATTCAGTAATTATAAATCTTTTCTTAAGATTTATTGCTGATTGGAAATATGGAAATAAAATGTTATGTATATGTGTTAGATAATTTATCAAATTTCGGATTGACTCTGGCAAGTCACTGTATAGATAGTTTTGTTACATGTTTTTATATTGTTAAGTTTTTATTGATGTGTAAAATACATATTTGTTTCGGAGTAATTATTAATAAACAATTTCAATTATAAATGTTGTGTAATTTGTTAATCTACATATAAACTAAATAATGAATAAATTACTTCTATAGCTCTCCATGTATAGACCATATATTACATACTACTCAAACTTTTCATTATTTGACATATGATAAAAAAAATAAAAAATCTAGTGCTGAGAACAAAAATATTAATAATTATATATAATAAATTAAAGCATTAAATATTATTATATTATCAAAAGAGTAAGCCGCCAGATATAAGAAAAATTATTCTTCATATCTAATTAGCTATGTAAAAGTTTCAGAAATCCAAATAGATATAGAGCAATTGTTCTCGTCGTGTATGTATGATTGCGGATGATGATAATATCCGTTCTCTTGTCCAGCTTAAAATAAATTATTTCTATAAGAGACCGTATGCAAAGTATGCAATCTACTGTTTTGTTTTTTTGTCGACAATTTAATTATGATTGACTAGAAAGAACCTGGCTGCAGCCCTAAGGGGAAGGAGATCGTGCGCAGTCTCGATTCGCCATAATGAGAAGCGTGTGGTGGGCGCGCGTTCTTACAACGACGTGTGAAACCACTTTTACTCTTGGGATGCACTTTCACTGTTCTACTCGGCACGATACAGATAACATCGCACACGATTTAAATCTTCTCATTGATTCCACTCCCTCTTGCTGTCGCCCGACCGCACCCATTAGAGAGATGCGAGTGCCTTTCATAAATCGATCGAAGATGCCGATCTAAATGCAGTCACGTTAAAGTATCTTGCCCATCCGAGAATTGCAAACGCTTATGACATACTTTTTATACGGTGTTTGTGACAATAGTTTGTATTGCTAATGTATCCAACAATTGCACTATAATAAATATTAACATTTTTTTATCAAATAAAATGCACAAGAATAATTTTGTATTGCTAATAATTAATTAATTAATTAAATTAATTTTATTATCTTATTTATGATACAAGTTTTTGTAGAATGCATATCGGAAAGAAATAGGGCATTTATTGGAGATAAAATATATATTTATGTAACATTTTATCAATTGCATAAACATTGATGTTTCAGCAAACTGCAATCGTATCACATTTATTCACAGATTGTTGAACAAGTAAACCAAGCCATGACGATATCACATTTACGCTATGTGATCACTTATCTTTGTCTCTCGCCAATATACATGCAACGTGTCTATGCTCATGAAAGAGTGACATATCTGAGAAATGATTGCATATCTTAATACATTAGAGAAAGACTCTATTTCTTTGTTCCTTTTCAAATCTAGAAAGATTTTATCATCTGACTCATCATAGGAAAAGTACAGAATAAAAGTGACAAAGCATGACAGATTATTATTGCACTGTGCGTTTTCTTCTTGCCTCTGTTATCTTCTCAGTTAGTACCTATTGAAATCTGCAATAACGATTACTGCTACATCTTGAATGTTAAGGTCATTAACTCCGTTCAGTTCATGATCATTTCCAACCTATAAAAAAGTTATAATAGTCATGAAGCAGATAGAAAAATTTGTAAAAAATATAGTATTTTTTACCAATTTTAACATTGGTTACTACCAAGACATTATATTTTATGATACAGTTTAATATTTTTATACCTCGTTGTATAAAAAAATTTTGATAATAATTAAAATTCTTAAACTGCCAATTTTTTTAATTTTATTTGGTAATTTTATATAATAAAATACAAAAAGAAATTATTTTTATATTAATTATTTATTTTTGTTTTTATGTTTATTTTATTATATCTTGTATCTGCGACGTGTGCCACTAATAATATAACACATTCGCCTGCTGTGTACGATTGCCACGAGCATGACGAGAATAATTAATACGCGGACAAACAGCTTGTTATTCACTCCCGGTATCCCAGAATCAGTATAACATAATTTATCTATTTAATAAAGAATTTTGATATATTTACTTCACGCATTTCGAAGTTAGTGAATGTTAGGAAGAGATCGAGGTAACCGCACCACTCTCAACTCTATCGTGCAGACAGACGGCATTTATACGTGCAAGCGTGCATCTGACATAGCGAACAACTAGAGTTACTATAATGAGGAGAAGGGAGAAAGTAGTGTCAGTATATAAAGAGTTGGCCGTGACTTTGAAAGCATCATAGAATCTGTTGTACGTTCCACGGACAGATATTGCAGAACAGATATTGTCACGGAAGTGTTTTCGTCGCGCAAGTTTGCAGATCATGAGACTATTTGTGAGTATTTCTAAAATAATTCGATATTAAATTATCCGGACAATATGCGTTTGATAATTGTTGCATAAATTAGATTTTTATAGAAATAATCACATATATTATATATAAAATTAAATTACTTATTTTATTAGAACGCTAGTTATGACAATACAAAACCATATAATCTTTTTATATTAATTTATTAGTGTTGTATTTTAAAGAAATAGACACACTTTGAAATCTACCAACTCTGTGCTATTGCTACTTTGCTCTCACAAATATAAAATAATAAAATACAATCATTTTTTTTTAAACTGTGAAATAGTTATTTGTTTAAATTTAATATGTGTATTAGTTTTTCTATTAAAATCTATGTTGAATCTATATGTACGTTGATCATTAATTTTTTGTGTCAAAAAAAAATAGGAAACAGATCTTATTTTTCTCACGAAAAGCAATTAAGCCTGCAAACGAGACAAGGCTGCAATTAGTTATTTATTACGAAATTGTTGCGCTTTGCGTGACACCATTCCGAATATGGCTTGTTCAAACGATTGGAAAGAGCGAGTGATCTGCGCGAAATGTTCGACCGAGTTTTCTCGTGAAACTACCGTCAAAAGAAAAACTTAGACTCGTGTTTAGAAAGCGGTTAAGATTAGCCATCTTGGCGACATTCAAAACAATAATTTTAATAATTCATTTATAGGTGTTAGTCACTATGGTGGTCACTGTATGGGCCTCTTATGAGGAGGAACACGGCGGTACAACTTATCACGAAACATCTAAACCAGTGGAGATACCAATCTACAAGAAATACGCGATACCAATTCCCCATCCAGTCCCCGTTCCGGTGCCTCAACAAATTAAGGTTCCAATACCTCAGCCCTATCAAATTCAAGTTCCAGTACCACATCCGGTTCCTGTAGAAGTTATCAAACACGTCGAAATACCGATTGAAAAGCCAGAGCCGTATGTCGTGGAAAAAAAGGTTATTTTATTGTGACAATTTTTGGATCACATTGTGTGATATTAAGAATTTGCAAAAAATTTGTCGGATTTTTAGCAAATTTTTATTATCATTTTATTATAGAATATTATCATCTTTTAACATAAAAGTAACGTAAATGCGAGCGTATACGGAAATATCATGTACTTAAATTTTAATTATATCTTTTGAATTTTTAAAGTATTAAGAATATTGCTATAGTATATAAAAATATTAAAATACATCGATAAATATACGTACATGATATTTTATATTTGTAATACTAATCCGTTTGTCACACATTCTTTTACTCGTTAATGTTTTAAGTATTAGCAAATTTGTTATGTTACAGGTACCATACGTTGTCGAAAAACCATATCCAGTGACCGTAGAAAAGCATTTCCCAGTGCCAGTACCTAAACCATATCCAGTTCATGTGCCGGTGTACAAGCATGTCTTCCATCATAAGAGCTCAGGACATGGCTGGAAGCATTAATTCACAAATCCAGACGATTCTCTGTAATATTATATCATTATGCTTAAATTAATGACAAAAGCGTTACATATGCAACAATAGATCGTAAGCATTATGATGTTGTGATGTTGTATATAGTTTGTTGTTATATATGTAATATTATATATAGATTGTTGTTATGTAATATTTGTTTAAATAAATTGTTTTCTGTTATATATAAAAATCACTAATAATTATTATTTTTTAAGTAAAATATTAAGTAGAGTAATTCAGGTTAACAGCATGTAAGGAATAATTAAAATCTAAGATTCTTAAATGGTAGATCGTGGAAAACAAAGTTCAAAAATATTTAGCTTGCTTAATTATCAATTTTTAATTATAGGGATTCTATGATAAAAATAATTAAATTATATTAAAGAGAACTTTTGTTAAACAATTTTCTAATAAATAAAAAGGAATACTATTAATGTCAAAGGTAATTAGGATACTATGCATAGATAATAAAATTAAAGATATTAAAAAAATTAAAATTATTTTTATAATTAATTATATATACGCGATAACAAATATATACATATAATTTATAAAAAATATATTTTCTTAACATTTTCTTAATAATTTATACTTTGCTCGTTTAATGCACAGGCTTGTATTGCCCCTAGCTGTTATGCATAGGCTTGCATGCAATAAATAACTTTAGGCGTATTTGGTTTTTTGTCAAAATCGAGAGAGAGAATGCATTCACACAATTATAAATTATATATTCCCATAGGCGATACCTCGGGCTGTATGTCGCGATATAACGTCCAGGTTTGTCGTAGCAAACTAACATGTCTGCAGTGCGGTAAATGACGACGAATAATGTCAACGATGCAATGTGTCGCTGTGCCCGAAGGGGGCATTCTCTTACGCCGTCGCAGAATTTATTCAGGAAATACCGAGGTACGTGCAATTGCATCATATAAACCTGGTGACCGCTTTTTATGCCGCTTAAGGGAATCACATTCGACTTGGGCTCGGCAAGAAATTTACCCTCTCTATAAGTGGAGCAAAAGTTTATAAAACCGAGGATTGTAAGCGACGCGCCTCTAGTTTGGTCCAGAACTTCTCATCTATTGATTCTCGCACATTTCGACGGAAAGAAAATCATGTTCAAACTATTGGTAAGCATACCGACATAATGTTGTTTCATAGTAAATTTGAGGTTGCTAAAGATTCGTTTATTTTAGATTTTATCAAAAATTATTATTGTAACATATTTTGACCAAAAACTATTAAAATTGTATTAATTTATTTTATATATATATGCCAAATTTATAGACAAATATATCTTTTGTTGTTTGTTAGAAATAGTGTTGTTGATGAAATATTTTAGAATCTCTCATACATATCCATTTTTTGTTACTGGCATTATCATCTTATATTATAACGTATAATAAAGAAAAACATATTAGATCGACTTTAACCAATTTATTCTTAAAAAATGGAGCACAGGAATTTTTGTAATTTTCTTTCTTAACTCTAATACTATTTCTTGAAATTTTTTTATCATGTCTTTAGTAAAAATCATAAATGGATATTTCAGATAACATTCTATACGATTTATATATTTTACAAGATTAAAAAATAATGACATTTTATATACATTTTTAAATATATTAAATGCCACACACACACACACACACATTTAAATAATTTAAATACATTAAATATATTTCTCTAAATACCTATATTTTTAATCTTAGATGCAATAAATACAATTTAAATAAATTTAATTTTATATAATCTATCTTTTAGAGAATTTTCTTTACATCATTTATATTAATCTGGCGGTTAATTGTCAATCTATTCTAATTTCTAGATACCTTGTCTAATATGGTTGTCAACGGTGCGCTCGGAGGCTGGGATGCAGATGAACATGCCGGATGAGCCGCTGATGGACAAAGCAGTGGATACTTCGATATTAAAGGCAAAGAGAGAATCCATTCATCAGCCTTGCGGACCAATATACTCGCATGTTCCCGCTTATTCACCGCCGTCCGTTTACGTTAAACCCTTGCTTCAGCAGGCTTATCTGAAAAAGGAGCTGGGGGTAGCACAACCCTTAGCTCATTTGCAGTATATTCAACAACCGCCCGCCTACGCCGCCGTAGTACCGAAACCGGCCATCACATATGTGAAGCCGGTGACACCTGCGATAAATTATCACCCCGTACATCAACCCCTACAGTACATCAAGCCCGTGATGCCCGTCTATCAGAAGTCTTCGCTGTCGTACGCGCCAATCTATCAAAAACCATTGTACTCTTACGCACCTATGTATCAGCAACAACAACTTATGTATCATGACGTGATGCCGAAAGTCTTCCTCAAGAAGTATGAGACGCCTATTGCCCAAATCGCCTATCAAAAGCCATTGGTCCATGCTCCCGTTCAGTACGAGGCGCCGAAGGTGGTGCAGATACAAGCGCCGCAGTTATCCTACGCAAAACCCGTTGTTCATGTTCCATCACCCTTATATGCCCCGCAACCCATTCATAATTCTGTCATAGTTAAGCCGCATTGTGTATAGATGACTCGATTGCGCGCAACGTAGATGTAGAGCTTTACAGAATATGAGAACTCTCAAATATTCAGCGAGCAACTTTTTCATCGATTGGCATTTAAACAAAAAGTAACGCCGATAGATTGTAATAAATAAAAATGTGTAAAATTTTAGCTTAATAATATAATGCGTTTGTATACAACACATCTCTTTTCGAATGTCAGAATTTATCAAGTTACAAAAAAACAGATTGTCAAAAATGATTTAATCTGAAATGTATAATAAAATTATTTTCCTTTTTCAATCGAGTGTTGATTTTTTATTAGAGTGCAGAATGCAAAAAATATGAAATATCAGATATAAATACAGATGTATAACATATCATAAAATAAAGAAATCACGTAATAGTATTACAAATAGAAAAATTATATGACTTAAAAATTAATGTCGGAATTTGCTGCTAACCATGAATTTTCGCTACTTGTTCAAATTTTCATCCAGAGAATTATATGCATATGAATTTTCTAAGCATAAGTATAGAGTACAATTATGTTACGGAGTTGCAGACATCTTCCACTTATATCTAGATTGCATCTCCTGAGATCTTAATTCTTCGAACTATGAAACCTCACTAGCATGAAATTTCTCCGATTGTTCTCAGAAAATCGCATCATCATACATTACATGTACAAAATATCAAATATTACAAAATTTAAATTATTATTCCAAAAAAGAATAAAAATGTATAATTACACATAATTCTAGTTTCGATTGTAAATACTTATGGGAGATTATAAATATTTCAGATATCAATATAAACATTTTCGAACAATAAAATAATTGTACAATTTTATGTTTTTGTTGCAAATTGGCATAAGAGTTTCTTGCCCTTTTGTCGCGCCAAAAGCAAATTGATTACCGATATCTACTAAAACTGGATGAATTAATGATAGTTCGTCGGTGAGTTTTCCACCTATTCCCAAGGATTCTGAAGACTCACATACAATTTCGTCACATACGCGCAACATCATTCAGCTTGCGTAACTCGGCAATGAAACGATCTCGCGGTTTTGCAATAACATACACGTGCATGTTTGCGGGCGTAACCAGCCGATTTTCCCATACGTATAAGCGCGCCACATCGCGTCCACGCGAATCTACACCATGAAGCACGAATTGTAAACATCCGCTCCTAGCGCATAATATTCGCATGTATTTACGTAACAATGCGCGGCGATCGTTGTATAAAATAGGCTTCCATGGGAAGATGTCTTTAGTACAAACGAACGAAGCATCTGAAGTAAATTCATTATGAGATACTATGTGAGTGAATGTTTGGAAATTTAAAAACAGTATAAAAAATAAAGTGAAAAAAAATTTCAATTACATACAATATCTTCATTTATAGTTCAATTAATTTGCCAAAAACAGTCGTATAAATAAAAAATTATCATTAATATCCATTTATCATTAATATCCATTTAAAAAATTAACATAAAAAAATAAAACAACTTACAAAATGATTCTTTGCAGTATTTAAAGAAGCGTATATTTATTGTGTTTTAGTTGTTTCTATTGATAGTCGCTATTTGCGAGGCGAGCATAATAACAAGAGATGTGGATTACACGAATCTTCAGGCAGTTTATCACGGCCATGGCGCTACCAGTTATCAAAACGTGCAGATTGATAATCATGATAATATACTAGTACCCGCGAACTACAGAGACCAAGCGGAGATTGTGGATTTGGAGCATCATGCATATTATCAACCAATTATTCAAATCGTGGAGTCTCAGAACGACATAGATGACATCCACGATATATCCCATTCACACACAGGTAAATTAAAATGTAAATTTATAATAAGTGGTGTCTGATTCTTGCATATAAAATTATATATTAATTAAAATGTCAATGTAATACATACAAATTATCATAGTATATTAATAATGTATTAAAAATGATTTAAAAAAAGAAGATATAACATTAACGATTTGAAATAGAAACACTAATATTATTCGATGCAACTTAAAAATAGTATAAGCTTAAAGAAATATTATTTTTTTTTTTAGATCGATGACATATATTATAGCTCTTTGTGTATGTTGGCAAATATAAAGAATTCATTACATTATTTGTTTCAGCTCCATACGAAGAATTTACTATCGCTGATATCAAGTCGGATGTATTTGAACATTATTTTAATCATGATGACGAGAAACATGATTATAATCTCCCCATCTACGAAAATAATTAAGAAAATATGTGTTTAAAGAATATATTAAGATACTATTTTTTCGAAGTAATTAATTTTGATTAGAATTAATTTTAGACAATATCTCTCAGGTATGTAACTGGTTCATTCTATTGCTTATATAATAATAGTGAAATAAAATAAATTATGCGTGTTTTGTGTAAAGCATTTTTTGACACTTGTTGTGGTATAGTTTTTACTGTATCGTAGTTTTTATTGACATACAGGCACATGCTCTTGCGAAAATAATCGCCCATAATCTAACAAAAAAGAAATAATCGCGAACGTAATTTGTAATATTTTTTTTTATTTCGTCCTTTATATCTAATATATAGATATATATGTAGAATGATATAATAATTTATGTAAATAACATTATATTATATAATGAAAACAACAATGTGTGATAATAATTATACTAGGCTCCAATTTGAAATTTATTTACAAACCTGTGTGACTATTCGTGTAAGAGTATCGGCTGAAAATTACACGATCTCTCGAGATTCTAATGTATTAATACTCTAGTCTCTAGTCATTATCAGCAGTCACGAGAATTATCGGCTAAGATCCGTGAAAGCGTCTCTCAACTTAAGGTATGTATGGTCTAGAAATCGTTACGGTAACAGCAAGAGTCCTTCTCGGCATTAGGCATCGACTCATGAATACAGACAATTTCACGCACGCATATACGCACACACGTTTTCCACTTCGATAGACTTCGATAATAGTGTTAACAATCAAAAAATATTCACTTCGACTAATCGCGCGGTGGATCACACCGTTTAATCAGTTCTGATTATGTGATATACTTCTTTTATATACCTAATACTTGACTAGATCACTTTAGTTTTATTGACTCCCTCATTAGTCTATAGGTACTCAGAGACTATGGAGATACGAGATGTTTGTTTATAAAAAAATACTTGGCTGAATGAATTAGAAACGTTACTGTAGTTACTCGTTTACATCTGATTTCTCACAATACGCGACATTCGTCGGCAAATATGAGAATGATAGCTAACAAAGTTTGATCCCAATTTCAAGTATAATTAACGATAATAGTAAATTGTCTGAAAACAGTCCTCGATCATAGCACATCATCGCTATAGAGGTAAATTGTGTAGAAACTCGACTGGCACTCATCACACGTAGAATTCAGCCAACATCTTAGCCAATTCGTAGTCCATGTCCTCGTTCTTGTACATATCCATGATCTGAAAAAATTATATAACTGTAAGACAATAATATTGAAAAATGAGTTTGTTATTTATTTATTAACTATAAAATTATGTTACAAAATAATTTTTTGATATTCAGATTTTTCAGTGAATCACTATAACTCTTTGTTCTAAATTTTAGTTTTTATTGTTAGTAAGGAAATAATTAATTTATTTCTGTCCAGGATTTGCTTAATTCAATTTCCAATACTGATTTTTTTGCTACTTACAATGCATACGTGATATATATTGATATGACGAACAGTTCAATTTTAATAGATAATTTAATATATAATATATTTGTGTTAACAAATAATCTCTCAGAAAAATTATTTACTTATTGAAGCAATATTAGTATTTTCTTTATATAATACTTTTTTAAAAATCTGATAAAGCAATGTCACGATTTTTATATGCTGCTTAGGTAACGAAACATTAATCAAAAATTCAGCAAGAAATCTTTAATTTTTATTATTCCAGATATTCGATTGTAAATATTTATAATTTTTAACAGTTAACTTGTTATAATACCGTGTCTTCGAATTAATATAACTGTATACTTATAATTTGTATATATTTTGAAATATAACACAATGAAAGAAATATCAGAGGAAAAATAAAATATAAAATATTTTAAAAAAGAAAATGTGGTTTATTAATATAATATTAAGTAAGGCATAAACAAACTGATATAACAAACTAAGAGAAACATAGGTAATAGAGAAAGAAATTAATAAAATTAACTTTAATATATATCTGATATAAATAAAATTAAGCTTAATTACAAAACAAAAATTTACAATTGTAAAACAAAAATATACAATAAATTAGATTCAACTTTTTAACATGTAAAATCTTTTATCACAAATTTGCTGATTAATACATAAATTCTAAATAAAATATTCAGATGTTCCGCAATTTTTTAGCACATAATCGATTAAAGTATTAAAATAAATGTTAAATTTGATATCAAAATACGCAAGTTGCTTATAATTATACAAATTATATTAAATATACTATCTCTATGAATAAATACAATAAACTATACTACCGGGAAAATCCCTAGTCTAGCAAGAGTTTGTTGCCTTACCGCGTTCATATCCTTCTGCAATTCCTCCAGTTGTTTCTCGTGGATCACTTTGAGTTTCTCCTTCTCCCTGTTTTGTATCATCTGCGCGACCCTGCGTTCCTCCATAAATTTTTTCGTGTTGTTCTGCTGCATCTCCCTGAGTCTGCCCTCCTTGATCCCTCGCGTTTTCAAAGTCTTGTCATTCATCACCTCCCTTGCGCTTTCCACCGAATGTCTCGCTTGTCGCGCGGTCATATCTTTCATCTCGCGATCATGCCGTGCAGTTAGCTGTTTCTGCTGCGTTAGCTGTGCGGCTACGCACAATTTGCATAATTGGGCTCGTCGCTCCTCCAAATGTCCGCGGACCAGGTCACGTTCCTCTCGGCGCTGCCTGTCAGCGAGACGTGACCATTGGGCCGTCTGTTCGGAAACAGCGCGACGAACTGTAGGATCTCTTGATAGTTCCGCTTTGCTACAACAGATTTTTTTAATTTCAACATATTATTCTACTATTATCTCTTATTTTAATCATTAATTATCAAGTGTTTCGTCAATTAATCAATTTAATTCTAAATTCTATCAATCTTTAATCCTGTATACGTGGATTATTTATTTTATGTACTTTCTAAAAAAATTTTCACATTTTATCGTCATCAAATTATCCTTTTGATTAAAAATAAGAGTTATTTATTAATATTTATATTTTTGTTAGAATTTGATTTAAATTTCGCAAAAATGACTAACTTTTTTCCTTTAAAAATCTTCTCTATAGCAACACAATGTTGCTTCTGAACAGTCAACTTCTCCTTGTGATGCCTCTTTTTCAAAGACTCTAATTCTTTTTGCTGTTTCCTTAATACTTTCTGATAACCCTTTTCTTGTCTTAGAATCTCCAGAGTAATTGGATCAAATTTCATTTCCTCTGTAAAAACAAAATGGAATGAGTATAAGTACTCAACTAACACAATTCCTGTATCTTACGATTTACCTCTTGGTTTAGCCGCTTCGAAATGGTGAGATGATACGTTGTTTTTGCCGTCCACATTGTTTTTGCTGTCACTCTCTTCAATTCCCAAGCCTCGTATTTTATTTTGCGACATACTTTCTGTCTTTCTAAATGCTCGTGGCGCCGTTAAGGCGTCCATAAATTCTAAAAAGAATTATAAACAATATTAAAACAATCAAATTATAAAGTTAATATATATTTCTGATTAAAATTATACAATGAAAAATCTCTTCAATTCGTATTTTATTTTGCGACATACTTTCTGTCTTTCTAAATGCTCGTGGCGCCGTTAAGGCGTCCATAAATTCTAAAAAGAATAAAAAGAATTATTAAAACAATCAAATTATAAAGTTAATATATATTTCTGATTAAAATTATACAATGAAAAAAATATA